CAAAAACCAATTTCACCATCCAACCTTCGTCATCTTTTGATAGCTGAGGGTGCGTTTGATTACTCCCACAAGGATATTTTCGACTACCATTCCAACAATAATGGCAGAAACTAACGCCACATCCTTCAACTGGTTCATGATGGAATGTTTCTTCATTTGGAATTCTTGGCAGTAGTCTACATACTTACCCTTCACAACTTCAGTTTGGGCTGGAACCGGGACGAATCTCGTTGCGGCGGGAAGTTGACAACCCCAACAGAATAATTTGGTTTTGCATATTTCTGAACCCATTTCTGTCGACGTTCATTCTCTGGTTTGAGGTTGTCCTGTTTGGACCGAGTGTGTCTCATATTTATTTATGTGCAAATGCCGTGTCTCTGCGCTCTGCGGTGGAGAAGAAACGGAAGGTAATGAAATGAATGCTGATCCCCAATGTTTCTACATGGAAACTGCTGGGTTCTGGTTGGATAGTGGTTGGTCATCATCCATATAGAGGCAGGGGGTTGAAACCTCAGACCACTTTTTTGTGCCTCCTCGTGTGTTGTATACCGGAGGCTTGTGCGGGTAACCACCACTGCTGCTGCTGCTGCAACTTGCATGCAACATTGCACATTCCGAACACGAATATCACGCTCTGTCGTTGTCATCGGTATGCATGCGGTGCGGGTTGTTGTTCGGTATAAACACACACACACGCCCTTGGTTGGTTGGTTAGTAGGTTTCGCAAATTTTGCGTGACGGTAAACCATCCTCCCAAAGTTGTGCACTATGTGTATGTGACCAACAAGAACAGAAACACAGAGAGATATGTGCCCTGAAGTGGGCACTATCTATTTTTTCTCACGAGCTCCACTGTGAAACGAGATATGCACATCATGCTTGGAATTTTTCGGACGTTTGCAAGTTCTGCATACGCAGCAGTAGTTCAAGTCCACCCCCTGCCGACGTCCGAAAAGAGTCGTTTATGAGATTATGGTCACCATTCAAGGTCCTCTTTCAGCAGCTGTAGTGAAGGGAAAACCGGTTGTTGCCGCATAGCAATCCCATTGAAGCTATTTTGGTAAACCGATGGGTGGCCATCTCGGATGTTTAGGCTGCTACCAGCAGCAAGAGACCAATCGCTCTGTAATGAACACCATAGTAATGCGTAAAAGAATGGCCTCCTAGAGCTTAGACAAGTGATGAACACACATATAGCTGAAAATCTCAAATGCAGACGTCCGCAAAAGGAGCTTGTTACCAGTTTGAAAAGACTCCCCTGACTAGACAACAGGACATGAAGAATTTTCGAGGTAATGGATTCCGGTATCGTTTGCTAAATGTATTGCTTGTTTTTCATACTAAGAGCAGTTCCACGCCAAAAGATGAATGGATATTATTTTTAACTCGCCGAATTGTATGAAACTACCACTAATGGGGTGCTTCGTAATGCTTATGGCAGCACTCACTACCAGAGGACGAGCCGCTTTCAATCGAATGGGCTGGCAGAAAATCGACCTGAGAATGTGTGTCGAAATTGACTTTTAATCAAAACTATCAATAATTATGCATTTTTTACGCAAGATTATTTATAAATAATATCCCTATAACTACAAAGAACAAATTGTAGAAATTTGTTCATAGATTGAACACATAGGGTAAACGCTCCTATAGTAGCGGTACGTTAGAAGCATTAGGTTCCTATAGTTGTGTATGGAGACTCAATACACAACTATAGGAACCTAACGCTTCTAACGTACCGCTACTATAGGAGCGTTTACCCTATATGTAAGTTTTTGTGATATTTGACTAAGAAGTTTATCTTTAATTTAGAAACAACTGTTAAGTTTTGTCCAACGTTTCGATGCCGGTTAGCATCTTCTTCAGGGAAACTGTTATATTTGTTTTAAAAATTAGTGAGTTTTTCATTTGGTATTACATATATGGTACTTACATATTATTTTTGTTCTTCGTCTAACGGCTTTTCAAAGCGTGTAATTGTGCGATTGTTTTTTTTTTTTTTGTGTATACATTTATGTTTTTAATGGATATTGGGGGATATTATTAGTTTATTTGTAAGAAGTTGTTGAACTGCCAGCTGATTGCTTGAATTGCCTCGTACTGTGTATAATTTCGGAACCATGGTTCCAAAAACAGAAAGTCGCGTTGACGAATAGGCCTCTCAGGGGTATACATATTTAGCTGAGCCAGCAGTGTTGGACAGTCAATGTCACCCGTAAGCAGCTTTCCAGCTAACATAGCTTGAGCGACCGTCCGTCTCACCTCTAATGGTTTGATTCCCAGAAGATGGCAACGCTCCTCGTACGGTGGCAAGTTCGTTGGGTCACGCCAATTGAGGAAACGAAGAGCATATCTCACAAACTTGCGTTGAACGGATTCAATTCTAGTGATCCAGCAAGCATGAAAAGGGCAACCAACAACTAAACTTGACTCCAATAAGGATCGCACAAGTGAGCAGTAGAGTGACCTGAGGCATAGCGGGTCACGGAACTCGTCGGCAATTTTGAAATTAAAGCCCAATTGTCGATGATATCTGGAGATGATGTCATTGTAGTGGATTATAAAAGTGAGTCTGCAGTCCAAGCTAACGCCGAGATCCTTTATGTGTTCTTCACGAGCAAGACAGCGTCCGTAGAGAACAAAGTCAAAAATGATTGGTTCGATTTTTCGGTGAAAGGAAATAATGATACATTTTTCGGTGCATAGACTCATCAAATTTCTTGAGCACCAGTCAGCAAGAATACCTTATATATTCTTCAGATCCCAACAGTCCAAAATACATCTAATAATTTTGTAGATTTTCTTATCGTCCGTATAGAAAACGCGGCATCCTAATGGTATCAGGAAGGCAACGTCGTTTAAAAAAACCGCAAACTGTAGCGGTCCTAGGTTACTGCCTTGCGGAACTCCCGAGTTGTTTGAGAAAACATCCGATTCCGACGCACCAATCTTAACTCGTACATAGCGATTCACCAAGTAGGATCTGAACCAATCCACAGCCGTTGACGAGACGCCAAGTATCTCCAGCCTGGCAAGAAAGATATTATGGTCCACCGGGGAGACCGGTCAGTTCTGAAGACGGAATATAGTGACCCAAAAAGTAGGGTTGAAAATTCTCTGGGGAGAATCACCCGGGTGCGAGAGATATCATTCTCTTGGGTGAATCTCTGCTTGTCTCCTCGGAGATTTATCCTGGCACCACTGGATAGATTGTTAGACAAAGCACGAGAGAGTGAGAGAGAGAGTTGACTGTTTTCTGTTTGTCTGTTTATACACTCACTTCCGTGAGAAAGATGGCAGCGGTAAGGCGTTACTGTTTCTCCAAAGACGCACTCCCGGCTCGCATGGCCATGAACCGGAACGTACTGCTCAGTTTTCTTTGGTTCTGCTTCGTTTCCAGCGCTGGAACCCAGGCTGGACCTCCATACCTCAGTATCGACGACAACACACTGGCCAGAAAACGCCTCTTGCTACTGCTGGGACCAGCGTTGTTCTGCATGATTATAGCTATCGCGTTGATGGACTTCGAAGCCTTCTTACAGGCATATTCGACGTGGCTGTTGAAGTTTAGCCGGTCATCGATCATTACTCCCAGGTATTTCAACACATGCTTTAAGGTTATGGCGTGCCCCCAACGGTGCTATCTGCCCGCTGTACCGTTTTGCAGTTACTGGCCAATAGCACTTCCGTTTTGTGGTGGGCTATCTGCAGCTTCGCTCTTTGCATCCAGTTACCAATCATGTCGATCGCCTCGGTCGCCAACACTTCCACCTCTTCCAGCGTCTCGCCTGTTACCGTCAAGACGACGTAGTCCGCAAATCCAACGATCTTAACTCCTTTGGGCAGCTTCAGCGTTAGCACGCCATTGTACATCCCGTTCCAAGGCGTTGGACCAAGGATGGAGCGTTGTGGAACTCCCGCTATGATCCTAATCGAAATCTGTCTCATGTCTGTCTGTCGACTAAACAAAAGCAAATTTCAATAATGATGCGCTGATGCCGTATTCGCATTTCCAAAATGTGTACATAATGATTTTACAAAATTTTTAAAAATCGACAACATACTGTACGTTAATAGAAAAAGTAGCCTTCAAAAAATCTTTGTATGCAACAAACTAACAACCAAAGTCTTCACCGGGGTGATTCTCCCCGGTGAAGCAAACGAACTCTCTACGGTGCTCCCTAGTGATCACTCATATTCTCCGGTGTGATGGACTGGTGGAGGTGCGAACGTCAGAAACTGTGTTTGTTTGCGAAGTGGGAGAAGCGGTATATAGTGAAAACAAAATAAAGATCTCTCGGGTGAGTTTGCTTTTGTCGTAGTGCGAGGTGTCTTTTCAACTCATCACCCTGCTTACACTGGGGAGAATGGCATCCCTGCCAAAAAGTTGCAATGAGTAAATTTGGTCGTCCAGTGACGTTTCCGTCAGCATAATCAAATCATATTCAGCCTCCGCAACAGCCAAGAGAAATGAGTCGGTTTTGGTAGTAGATCCGGAGAACATGCGAGGAGCAATCACGGGAGCTGGAAATCGAAAGAACATCAAGTACCGAAAGCTCGGATTTGCAAACATACTCGCCTGAGGTTGCAGGCCGGAAACCCCCGATATCATCACCGACCACAGGACCGGGACGATGAAGATGGCAGATGTTTGCAGCAAGCGCGACTGGGTTAGGGGGTCCGGAAGCTTCCTCAGTGCCTGTTTTAGGGTGTCTCGGATCCGAGAAAGAGCAGTTGCCGGCATAAACCTGCTGGCAGTTGGGAGGACGGATGCATAGACATGATGTGGCTAGTGCGGAGGCCGCAGAACCGGAAACACAGCTAGAAGTTGAAGCGGTATCAAGCAAAGGAGAGGCTGAATCGTCAATATTCTTGCCAGTAATAGCTTGTTGGAAGACCCCCGATCTACATCTACACTCAGGGCCGAGACGACTTTGCTGAGCACTGGCTGGAATAAGCGTGACTGATGCAGATCGGGGGCTTCCTCAGTGCTAAACACGATGCGTCTCGGTGGTGATGGTGGTGGTCCAGAAGCAGTAGAGATAGCAGTATTATTTTTGATGATCGTGGAAACATCGTGAAGACCGGGTTTGAAGACCCCATCTCCAATCCCACACACAGGGTCAGGACGACTGGCGGGAAAAGCTTGATAGTGGTGGGGGGATTAGGGGTTTCCATGGAGTTAACTTCGTTGCGTCCCAGATATATACTGGTAAGTGAAGAAACCGGTGAACGAGTCAGGAATTGATCTGGTCATGAATTATGTTTTTAGATTATTATTTTTATTTATTTATGTTATGGTCAACACCCCAATTACAGTATGTATACTTATTCTAGACAAATTCACATAAAATACTCTTGAAATTGCACATATTTCTAAAACGGGAAACATTGAAGTCAAATACATTGTAGCATCTGTTAAAGATGCGACACATCCTCCGCATGGGCTCATTCCATCCGTAGTTGGTTCGTAAGAGGCAGTTGTTCAGGAAAGCATGCGATCGTAGATTACGGTGGCGGGTATTGATGTCGATACTACTCAGCAGTGTAGAACAGTCAATGTTTCTCTGAAGAAGATCACCGACGAAGCTCGCCATTGCTACGTTACGTCTGGCATCCTAAAGCTCTGAGTTGATAAGCATACAACGGCTTTTATAGCTAGGCAGATTTCTAGGGTTATTCCAGCAAAAATACCTTAAAGCATACTGGATGAACATCCGTTGAAAAGCTTCAATATGAATGGTTTCATTTTAGTAGCACGGAAACTACACGACCGTCGAATACTCCAAAATAGGTCACACCAACGAACAGTATAATGCTTTTGGGCAGTATACATTTTTGAATTTTTTGGCGAAACAGAATATGAACCCGAGTTGTGAGGAAGCTTTGGATACTACGTATGCAACATGATCCTTGAAGCCGAATCTCGGAGTCGATCAGAATTTCCAGTTACTTGATAATCGATTTACGTTTCAAAGTTATGCCCAGCAAGGTGTAGTCATGGTGAAGAAGCGAACGCTTGCGAGCAAAGGAAATTACAGAGCATTTCGAGACATTCAGTGACATGCGAGTAATACGACACCACTTAGCGAAGACTTCCAATTGTTGCTGCAAGAAAATGGCATCACTAGGTTCTTCTATCACGAAGTAGAGTTTCAAGTCGTCCGCATACGATAGTTTAAGGCATTTCAGGATGGTATTGACGTCATTCATGTACAACAGAAACAGAAATGGCCCAAGATGGCTACCTTGGGGAACGCCGGATGTCACGGGGAAGGATGAAGAAACAAAGTCTTCAATCTTGACAGAGATGTTTCGACCAGTCAGGTAGGAGTAGTCGAGATCCGTCGAGATACAGTGTGCAAAACTTTGAACCAAGTTTTCGAGTATAATTAACTCAAAAAGTTTGGAGGTAGCACTTAACGAAGCTTTTCAACGGTAGTTTGAAACAGTCCTTTTGCTGCCTTTCTTGTGGATTGGGAACACGAAAGACTCTTTCCAGCAAGCTGGGAAAACCCCAGACATCAAGGAGAGATTGAAAACGTTAGCTAGAGGTGTCGCGAGAGCAGTCAGGCAGCGTTTGAGGACTAACGACGGTACGCCATCTGGACCGGAACCCGTTGAAGTTTTTAGCTGCTTCCCGGATGAAATAACCATTTCGCTGGTGATAGAAAATGGATGGCTGGAGAAGGTTAAGCGAGAGACGTTACTAGACGCAGCAATAACATCCTGAGTGCTGAGTCGTTCGTCGTTGAAAACACTGTTGAATTTGTAACAGTGGGGTAGACGGCAAGGTGGAAATAGCAGATAAATTCACTAAACCATAGTTATTTTTACTGCTGAATGTTTTCGAACTGTGTCCCTAAAATCGGCAAGCTCCTCAACGAACAACGCTTTCGAAAACCCTTTCGCTTAAGCGCCAGTACAATAAATCGTACTGCGAGAGGGCGTGTTCAAATACCGTACCCGGCTAGTCCTCTCAGGGCAGGTCAGGTAAGAACAACAAAAAATTACCGGCAAAACCCGAAACGCGAACAAAACCAAAATCTCCTGATATAGGCTAGATTCTTCCAACTCAGCGGTCGACAAGAAAATGTGAAGCAAGGACTAAACTTTGACACTCACTTTATTCTGGGGGTTTTGTCCTAAGGCCCTAAACGTGCACGTTTTTCTAATATAAAATTGGCTCGATCTAACCTGGTCTTTTCTGCTGCAGTTACCGTTGCCGACGGTGCTCGCTGTTGACGCCGCGATCGCCGACGTAGATGGTGAGTGATCTACAACGATAAAAATTCTGAATTTTACTGGTGATGTAAACATCCATGCATGCAAACATTCATGCATGTAAACTTCCTTTTCGCGTAAAAATCAACTTGTAAGAAATTTTGCTTACAAAGATGATCGGTTGCATATAATATTTGGAATATCTCATGAAATGCCTCATAACTTTACACGATCTAAAATGTAAACTTGTATGATACATGACGCTCCATTTATGTGCAGCATAGTAACATAGTATGGTTTTACGAATGAGCAAAAATGAATCACAACTGAATAAAAGTGAGTCACTCTCTGAGTTAGTTCCATTTTCAGTGCAGTGTTCCCCGGCATTTTATTTTGCTGGATATCCGTAAAGAACATGCCGAGATTCAGCTTTTAAACGAGAGAATTGCTAAGATCTCAGTAAAAATAAATACACTCAAAACGAAAGTAACTCAGACAGTGACTCACTTTTACTCCGTTGTGAGTCACTTTTACTAATTCGTATGAAGACATTTCTGAAAGTGTAGGACACTAAGTGCATGCGTAGCCTATGCTTTAAGAAATTTCTCTATACAAATGAGTAAAAGTGAATCACTCTGTGAGTATGATTCGTTTTCAGTGTACCTAGCTAATCAGCGGTGCCAATCTCGGTAATACAATTTAAGTGTGTAAGGTGTTTAAATTGTGTAAGCTCTTAACCGATGAAACGGAAAATGGTAACTTATGAGTTGTGACAAAATTGCATGAAAGTGAAGAATTATCCATCTGGGCTTATTTGCCAAAAACCACAACCTTCTATCTAATGGAGACGTTAATTTAAAGCAAAAAACTGAACTGTCCTCCATTTGATAGGCATTGTCCATCTGAACATAGTATCTTTCCATTTGGTGGAATTTTCAATATTGGAACGAGTCATTCAAGTCGACTTGCACTAGCGTTCAACAGTGTGTCGACCGTCCAGCGTCACATCCGCAGACGAACTGGCTCTTTTTTAACCTCGCGCAGTCGGCTTGTCTCTCTGTTCTCTCGATAATCATAGCGAGCGAGCACGTGATTGGTTGATTACGATCAATAAGTTCGATCAATTTTGCAATTGCTAACTTTTGATAGACAACTATCATCTTTATACTGAAACAAATCTTACATCCAATTTGAATCAAATGGTGTAATTAAAATTGAAATTAATTAATAAACGACCATGTTATAGGCGTTCAAAACCTGACGCTATTTCGACACATTTTATTTTAATTGCGTTGCGTTGCGTTGCGTGTGTAACGGAATAATTCGTAGATTGCATACTGGCAACTGTCATGTATCAACTTAAACGTTCTTATTCTGATTGCTTTAGGAAAACTATTTGGGAGTGAATAGTTCTCCAATCAAAATTCAGAACAGGAAAAGCATGACAATTACCATTGCCGGCCACGCCCATCTTCTCCGTTACGGGATAAGGAAGGATATTGTTGATGTAGCATCTACTTAACGGGAGGCCAGCGACTCACTAAAGCCCCCATAGATGCTACGGAGTTGGATAATTTGGTATGAGATGGGTCAGGATTCGCTTAAGCAGGCGATGCGACCATAGTTATTGTTTTGTGGAGTAAACCCACGATCTTCTACTCAGTAAGCAAAAGCGGCAGCCGCCAAGCTAGCCAAGCTCCTAAATTTAAATTCTAATCCTGTTTAAAATAAAATCAAACAAACAAAAAGGAACCCAAATGATCCAATTTACTCTAGCCATGTGTGTTAAAAACACTGATGCCCTTTGGGTTGCCACTTCTAAGGACGGTCGATAGTCGTGGAGATTAATTCGCAATCGCTGACACAAAACTATTGAAAACTCTTTTCACGTTAATTACAATATCAATAATTACACAACCGTATCCGAAGCCAACTGGTTGAAGACTCGACACATTTTTTTATTTGCACCGAAGAATGCCCACGCAAACCAAGAGCACCATCGAGAAGGGGAGAATTTACCCCAACCGATGGTTTTTTGGTTTGCGTGGGCGTAATTTGGTTCACGCGAAAAGGACTTAACAAGTTGTTGAATTTTTTCGTGTGCAACCTTTAGATGAGCCGTTTTTTTTTTCTTTATTAACGAGACTTTCAGCCATAGCTCTAACTAGATGAGCAGTTTTCGTGCTATGATTTATAGAAAAATATATAATACGCCATTTTGAAAAATTTGATGTAATAGACGAATTCTAGCACAAACTTGGTTCATTGCTTCTAGCGAAAAATTATGCGTAATTTCATGGAATTTTTTTTTTTTATAATTACTTTATTTGTACAGGCTCAATCGAATAAACTTTACAGAGCCGAGTTATCCTTTGCGTTATACATTATTACTGTCTTAAATTTAAAGTTAAAGGAACTGGACCGAGTACTCGCGGTTGTCTCGAGGTTAGTGGAGATTTACAATTTTTTGGATGGGAAAAGAGAAGAAGGAGGTTTGAAATGTGATTTACGATACAACTATTTAATTAATCCTAAAGCATGAAATTATTTCTATTCATCTTGAAAACAAACATTGAAAAAAAAAACCCACACGTACAAAATACAAACTAAGCACAAGGTTAATCAAACTTACAATCTAAGGTTAATATCCTTAAAGTAAACATATATGAGTTTCATAAACTCCAGATCGCGTCTAGCCAAAATATCCCGAACTGGAACATTAGGTTGTCTACCTCGAGCCCGAAGGGAATCATAAAAATGTGATCTGACTCCACGATACTCCGCACAAGACCAAAGGATGTGATCAGCGTCC